ACTGCAGGGTCGCTACAATATCGTAACATGGTTTAGATTCCTAAATAAATATTCACCTCATTGCTAGATAGGCCTACTCCTGAAAAACTTGAAAAACTCGTGGATGATGCCATCTCTGTCTGCGCAAGGCTTTTTGTCCTACGAGGCCACCATCACTTACCCGACGGGAGGGATGAGCGAGTGAGCCCTGCAATCTAGAATTTGACCGCTGATGTCACTGTTACTCACCATTTTTACACACTGAGGCTTCAAGGTTAATAGGTTCAAATACTTGCGAAAGGTATCTGAAGCAGGACAAGAAAAGTGATGTTGTTCCAGGGTTCAGAGGGTTAAAGAATGAACTAGGCAGCAAATCTGCACACATGGGGTGCTGGAACCGTAGAATGATAGTGTTGTTGAAATGATCACTGTGCAGACTGCACTCACCCGACGCCTTCCTCTTTTTCCTCAGTAAAATGGCCAAGCTGGAGGAGCTGGAGGAGGTGGACCTGAGCGGAAACATGCTGAAGACTGTGCCCACCACCATCATGAATTGCCGGCGAATGCACACGCTCATCGCCCACTCCAACGCCATCGAGGTCTTCCCTGAGGTCATGCAGCTGATGGAGATGAAAGTAAGACAGTAGTAATGCATAATATCTCTGTGCATGCTAATGTACAGTATGCGTATGAGCCCCTGAAGCTACTACTGTATGTGTGCGAGTGTTCACATCCTTTCCTCTCCAACAGTGTGTGGATCTGAGCTGTAATGAGCTGAGTGAGATCACGCTGCCAGAGAATCTGCCTCCCAAGCTACAGGAGCTGGATCTGACTGGAAACCCTCGTCTCAACCTGGACCACAAGACGCTCGAGCAGCTCAAGTATGTCCTTGTTTTTACTTTTATTTAATCAAAGCTTCCATGATAGAAACCCCTCCAAATAGAGTAGAGTCAGTAGTTTGTGTATCTTTAGAGTGAATGTCATTTATTTCATGTTTTGTTGTTTTTCAGTAATATCCGCTGCTTTCGTATCGATCCGCCTCCGACCTTTTCATCGAACGAGGCATCTGGTGGGCCTGCTGTGTGGAGTCATGGTTACACGGAGGCCTCGGGCGTCAAGAACAAGTGAGTTCAATTCAGTTGGTGATGAAAAAACGCGCACCATCACAGTCATCCGGTGAAGCATCACTAATGCAAACCTCTTGGGAATGCGCATTGTTAAAGCTAGATGACTCAAACCAAGCAAATATTGAAGCAGTGCTTATTGAAAATATGAATCATGTATACTCACATGCCAAAACATCTCTGTTCAGGCTAAACTGCCAATTCAACACTTTAAATGTGCATGCGAAAAAAGAGAGATTCAAGCAATTGCACATATTGTTTCCACATTTCTATATAAGTGATGTTCATCAGGCACGTCTGCTGTGATGACGCTGGCGCTGCTGAACAGTCAAATGAATCACAGAAGGCATTGTTTCCATGGTTATTAGTGAGCAGAGCAGTGCGATCAATATGTGGAGAACAGAGGAGTTTTGAAGCACCCATTATTTCCTCACTGAGCGCATGCCTCAATGATGTTATGGCCTTCTTTTGTTTTCCTTTCAGGCTGTGTGTTGCGGCTCTTTCAGTAAACAGTTTCTGCGGGAGTCGTGAAGCTCTGTACGGCGTGTTTGACGGCGACAGGAATGTGGAGGTGCCCTACTTGTTGCAGTGCACGATGAATGACGTGTTGGCGGAAGAACTGCACAAGACCAAGAGCGAGGAGGACTACATGACCAACACCTTCCTTGTCATGCAAAGGTACGCGACCACAGGCATTTTTAGTTTGAATTATTTTTTTTGTCTCTCGCCCAATAAATTGACCGAGGTGAGACATTTTAAATCTTCACTCTGTCGCCTCTTTCTTTGCCACCATAGAAAACTGGGAACTGCAGGACAGAAACTGGGTGGCTCGGCAGCTCTGTGTCACATTCGCCATGACCCCACCGACCCTGGTGGCTGCTTCACCCTCACAGCAGCTAATGTTGGCAAGTGCCAGGCCATCCTGTGCCGAGACGGAAAGCCATTGTCGCTGTCACTGCTCCAAAATGTGGGGCTGGAGGAGGAATACCGCCGAATCAGGCAGCACAGGGCCATCATCACTGAGGTAGAGATCCTTGAAAGCATCTCAATGTAAATGTAATTTCAGATGTGCACTGCATAAACAAAGTATTGATGTGTATGTTTTATCCCATAGGACAACAAGGTGAATGGCGTGACCGATTCTACACGAATCATGGGCTACTCCTTCCTCTATCCATCCGTCATCCCTTGTCCCTACGTTCAGACTGTCACTCTATCCCCCCAGGATGAGTTCTTCATTCTGGGTAGCCGGGGCCTGTGGGATGCTGTGTCTCCCATCGAAGCCGTGGAGGCTGTTCGAAACGTCCCTGACGGCCTGGCCGCTGCTAAGAAGTTGTGCACGCTGGCACAAGGCTACGGCTGCACTGACAGCCTCAGTGCTGTTGTGGTCCAGCTCAGTGTAAGTGAAGACTGCTGCTCCTGCTGCTGTTCTGAGCCTCCACAGCCACCTCCTAGCCCCGGCTTGGGCCCCTATCCCCCATCGTCCTCTGCCATCAAGGAGAGGCCCTCAGATGGCTCCCTCCCTGTGCCGCCCTCCTCCTGCAGTGAAATCAGCAGTGAGATCAGTACCAGCGAGATGAGCAGCGAGGTGGGCTCCACAGCCTCATCTGATGAGCCTCCACAGAGCTCCTTGGTGCTGCTGCATGAGCAGCCTCACCATCCACACCTCCACCTGCACCACCAGGCCCACCCGCTGTCCCTACAGCACCAGCAGGCCCACACAACCTCCCAGCCCTGCCAGTATCTGTTCCCAGGTTCAGAGCTGCCCTCTGCCCGCAGCTGCTGTGCCGTCCATCCTGCCTGCTTAGCAGGCTCCTTCCAGAGGCAGCTGTCTAGTGCCACCTTCTCCAGCGCCCTGTCTGACAACGGGTTGGACAGTGAGGACGAGGAGCCCATCGCTGGTGTTTTCTCTAACGGGAGCCGCGTAGAAGTAGAGGCGGATGTCCACTGCCTCAAAGCAGAGTCCTCCCCGTCACCCCAAACATTACCCTCATCCTCCAGCCAGGAGCGAACCCTGCTGACTCTTCCTCCACCCCCTCCCCCGCCATGCACCCCAGAGCCCTTGGAGGAAGGGGTCGACATGAGCCTCGGTGAGGCGGAGAACGGGCTGGATAGAGATGAGTCTTGGCAGGGAGTCGGAGCAGGAGGCGGGGATGGAGGGAAGTTGGCAGGCAAGAGGAGGGTTAATGGGTCAGTGGCGCGCCAGGAAAAGAGTCACAACCTTATTGAGGTGGCTGCTGACGCTCCCTCTAAAAAGTCTGGGGGTTACTTCACAGCTCCAGCCCAGCCTGACCCAGATGACCAGTTCATCATCCCGCCTGAGCTGGAGGAGGAGGTGAAGGAAATCATGAAGCAGCATCAGCAGAAACAGCAGAAGCCGCCTGGGACCGATCAGCCCACAGACTACTACGACACCCCTCTCTGAACAACCAACACCACCGACTACAGCCTCATCTCCCTCCCAGCTGCAGCATGCACAGAAGCCTACTGTACCGCTGACCTAACCAGTCTGATTCTCCGTACACGGACACAAACAAGTTTCCTCAAGAGGCTGTAAAATGCACATGAAAAAGTTGGATCATACTTTTTCTAAACGGCCTTCATTGCTCTAAACAGCCTCGTCATTGAAGAACCATGCACTGTACCGTGATCCACTCATTTTTACCCAAGCAACTCATGAAACAAGCAAGCAAATGAGCCCTTTAATGATACTCAACCCTCTTGAATAGGCTGTGGACACAGCTCCTGGTGTCCATGGTCGTGCCCTTCTCACAGACTGTGGAACGTTGTTTTTACATTAGACAACCAGCCGAGTATGTATTCAACACTAGTCTCTTTGCAATAGCATTAGCTCGCCACAACACTTGTTAATATGGATAACAATTCCATGGTTTGTTTGTTTGTTTTGTAAGAACTTACCATATCTTTTAATGTGAACGCAGTGAAGTTGCTGAAAGAACTTTTTAAAACAGAGACACATAATCTTTTTATTATCAGTGAACTATGTCGAATGGTACACCAGTAATACCACACTTAACTGTTGTAGATAGGGCACTTAAAATACTGTATTTCTTCAGTAAATCATGGCTCTTGGCCTGTAAAATGGCATAGAAATTTTTTGTAGAAATTTTAAATACTAACTCCTAGGAGTTGCATACTCTTTATGGTGACTCAGTCACTTTTACTAATCTTCTCTGAGAGAAATGGTGATTTTTTTTTCCAATGATTGTAAATAAGAGAAATGTTGTATACTGATGCTTTTAAAGGAACTACGTACCTGTATGTCGGTGAAGGATTTGGTGGTGGGGAGGACATGAGGTTCACCAAAAGTTTGCTGTCATGGAGGTGTCACCCCCCCCCCCCCCCCCCCCCCCCCCCCTCCCCCCCCCCCCCCCCCCCCCCCCCCCCCCCCCCCCCCCTTTCCCCCTTTATCTTCCAACGTAGACCTACACACACACACACACACACACACTCACACATACAAATGTATATGTGAAATGGCAGGTCAGAAACCCCAACATTCCATGCAGTATAACTACACAAAGTTGCCATGGTTTGCTCCACTTTGTGTGATTGTGATGTCCTGTAGTCATCACTGTATCTAACGAACACTAATGGACAGATCTTTGCATGCACACTTGCATGCACGTACATACATACACACACACACACACACACACACACACACGGACACGTACACGTAATATTAGTCCCACCTCCCTCCTACAGTAACTGTTATCACCGGCATGACTGTGTCAAGTTCAGTAATACAAACAAATATATCCACATGGAAAAGAGACAACACAGATGTTCCTGTCTTTGGTATAATAAATTTTAAATTTGTGAATATATGTCATGCTGTCTTGGATTGTTTTTTAATAATTAATATGCATTTAATGTATTTACAATATTATTTTAGTTTATTCCAGTGTTTTACACCAAATGACCAGAAGGGGGCAGTGTCATATAATGGTATGCTCTCCACCAAGGATATTCAACTTGCTTTGCTCAGGGGCCACGTTTGCAAAATGACAGAAGACCAGGGGGCAGTTAATAAACAAACATCAATAATATTTATCAGCATATATAATAAATTAATTGCCTGCTTTCAACCTTTCTACATTTGATGTCCTCATCTTTGTCAAGACGCAGATCCAGTTGCAGCAGCTTCAGGGCTTTGCTTTGGCCTCCATTGGTGGTCTGGGAGATCCTCCATCGGTCTTTTTTTTTTATTTATTTTTAAATAAAAAAACACTATTTCAATGTGTTTTAATGCACTTTAGCATCTTATTTACATTCAAAGAACAAAAAAAAAATCAAGTGTTAATTCATTTTCATTGTAAATTAGAAAATGGTCGTTAGGCCACCTTGCACCCTATCGCGGGCCAGATTTGGCCCATGGGCTGTAAGTTGAATATCACTTCTCTACAGTATGTGATTGCTTTGCTCACTGGAATCACTAGCCTTACATCTATAAGTCCAAAGCTTGCTCAAAAGAATATTTATTATAAAAATTGAACAAAACAAATACCAATTTATTTTACTTAAAGTCTGTTTTTGCATTATGCTTCTGTTCATGAAGCTATCATTACAAAGGTTATGGTCTCCCACTATGGTCTTTGACCAGCATTCATGTTTTCCATGACAACACTGTTACTGTTGGCGCTGCTGCGTTTCTTATACTTCTTCTTCACACAGACGACACTGACCGCCGTAATCACCAGCATCACTCCCAGTACAGACAGAGAGGAGGCAAGTGCAAGGGTGGTTTTATCCTGTGTGGAGCCCTTGTACTGACAGCTGTCCCCGTAGTACCACCAGTCGTCGCCCACCACACACCTGGACAGCAGAGACAAAGAGGATGAGAGAGAAAAATCAGATGTGAGGGTATTCCCAGCACTTTTACGGAGCATGTAGAGAGGGTGATGGAACATTGGTGGGAGGTAAATAGAGGAAGATGAGACAGAAATTTTTTTTCACTATAGCTTTTATGGGGCTTCATCTACATGAAGTTAAACCATACTTTCCCCTCAAATATTTAATTCAAGAATGCTCTTAAATGAACAAAAAAAAGATGTTTTGGGAAATACGTTGCTTTTTTGAGAGTTTGATTAGAAGATTGACACCACTCTTGTGTCTATACGATATATTTGAAGTGTGTTTTGTGTCATCTGGATCATTTGTTCCTGGGAGCACTTATTGGTCTGCTGCAGTGCAGTGCATTCTGGTAGCTGTAGGTTTTCTATCTCTTGAACAAAAGTGAATGCCACAGCCCCTTCTCTCTGTTCTCTCTGATCATGAGGCACCAATTTCAAAGATATTTACATCTTTTTTCTGCACAGACAACCCCAATTTATAAAGAGGCTATCTTTCCAGCAGTGAAATACTTGTTAAAACACAAATTGAGAGATTAAATAGAAATAAAAATAAAAGCATTAAATAAGTGGTATTACAACAGATCCCCTCCTGCACTGCCTGCCACGAATTTCCTGCTAGGAGTCCTTCCTTTAACCCTTCATAAAACCACAATGTGACAATCTGATTTGTAGATTTTCTTGGTCCAGAGATGTTGGAAGGTGCACTTTGTCACCTTAGGACAAAGCCAGGCTAGCTGTATTCCCATTTCCAGTGTTTCTGCTAAGCTAAGCTAACAGGTTGCTGGCTGTGGCTTCATATTGCACAGACACATGAGGGTGGCGTTGATCCTCTCATCTAACTATCTGCAAGAAAGTGAATGTGTAGTTCCCAAAATGTCGAACTATTCCTTTAAAGCGCTCACCTGCAAGCAGGCTTGCCCTCATCCACGACACAGACGCCCTCGTTCTGACACTCCACATTGAGGCAAACATCAGGGGGCGTAGTGGTGGCCGGTCGCTGGGTTGTAGAAGGCGGAGGCTGGGTTGTGGGGGTCAAAGGCTGGGTTGTGGGGGTCAAAGGCTGGGTTGTGGGGGTCAAAGGCTGGGTTGTTGGGGGCAAAGGCTGGCTCACTGTCAGATGAGCCACGTCTGAAGAGGGGCAGCACATAAGAGAGCGGTTAATTGGATCCAAGTGGACGAGCAACAATGAACATGTAATGAACAGACTGGATGTATGATTGGCTCTAATGTTTTTCTGACAAGTGGGTATCTGAATCATGGATGTAATCATGCATCAGTGGTATATGTAATCCCACAAATCTGCTGTTTTGCACGTGTGCCTGGGATGAGTATGTAGCATACTTGAAAAAATAATTGAGGTGTTGTATGACAGGATGGATGTGGTTTCATCAATAAGCTAATACATTTCTTCGCTTTTATCTTTAATATCTTGGACGCACAATGTTTTTTGTGTTGAAATCTGTTGAGTTTATACTGTAATCTGGTGCTTTTACCCTCCATGGTGAGGAGAAAGATGGCATCTCCTCCCTTTATAAAATCCCTGCTCTTGGCTCTGAGGTGGGTGAGATAAACTGGGGTGCCAGCGCCTGGCCCTCGGAAGTACTTGGACCCATCTGTATGTGTGACCTCAACGCCCACCTTGCGAGGGTCGTCCCAGAAAAACATGTCAGAGCCTGTTAAAAAGGAAGTTGGAAGATTGTATGAATATAATATTTTCAGGATTTATTTTTACCCAAAGAATAATTTATTTTAATATTGCTGCACCTGTTGCCTTCATGTTGGGGTCAGTGGTGACACTACGCTGGTTGGACATGCGCTTTTGGATGTGTGAGTGCTGGTCCATCAGCATCATGGTCATCTGTTTCCAGGGGCATGGCCATTTTTGCCCTGTGTCCCCTTCACGAGCCACCAGATGAGCGTAGGCTGACAACTCACCGGCGTAGTCTGCCTTACCGTTGGGGTACAGCTCCATTTGAAAGGTGTAACCCTCATTAGAGGTGAAAGTGGGGCTGAAGATAGACGTGTTTGTTGGAGTGTTATCCATAACGTGGCTGAAGTTTTTCACTCGCCATATAAACTCTGGGCAGGTTGTCTCAGAAAGGTTGATGTCATCCAGTGACAGCCCCCCTGTCACGGGCCCAGAAGTCTCCTTGGTCCCTTCAAAGACAACGCGGAATTTCGTCTTGACGTCTAGACTCACGTGGTGCAGTTGCCACAGCTCCTGAGGGGATCCTGTTGAGGTAAAAACATTGAATTTATTGAACAGTAAGTTCACGATTGCCAAATTTCACAAACATTTTTCCAAGCACAAGTAGAATTTAGTAATACTCACCCTTTATAGTGGTTATAAAGCGCAGTGTTCTGTTGGGGTTAGCTTTGTCATATTCTCTGACATGGATCTTCAGTGTGTCCCCAGCGCTGTTGTAGTAGAAGAACTGCAGACACTGGTATCCTCTTTTGGGGTAAAGGAGCCGGCTCTCCAGCAGAGCTGTATCCCCAGTGTTGGCTGAGCTAGAGTTGAAGTACATAAAATACCCCGAGCCTAAAGATCGGAATTTTATTTGATTATTCATGTCAGTACCGAAGCATTATTTCAATGCACTTTGCACAGTGGATGATAAGAGGGAAGATTATACAGGCCAATCTATAATATAGCAATGATTAAAAGACAGATTCTCATTTATACAAGTCTATTTTAAAACAACCTCTCACATGTCTGCATGTGATGTCAGAGATGGGGGACAAAATTCACAGTCCTTGTTTTGAAGTGCATCTTAAAGTGCTGTGGTAAAGTTCAGCAAGGCCTCATCTGTCTAGACAAATCAAGTGGGTATACATGGCGCGAGTGCATTTAGGGCAGTGGTTCCCAACTTGTCCAGATTTCTCCTTAGTCATTAGTTAAATGTCCACACAGTTTAATACATTCAGCATCATACTTGCGTTTGGACATGTCATCAAGCTAGTTTGCTGTCTCTGTCAAATAGCTGTGGGTTAGCCACTCACTCTATAGCAGGAAACAGCACTTCAGAATAAAAGCCCTGTGCCAGAAATTCACTGTACTTAAAAATAAAGTGTGTTTTTTGCAAACTTAACATGTTTGCTGGTCAGTTGCGGTCCATTCAGAATGGACCCGTGACCCACTTTCGGACCACGACCCACCAGTTGGGAACCACTAATTTTGGGCGTGTCCAACCACTTTTGCTAGGTCAAAGGCCGAAAGGGTTGTATTTAGTCCCTTAATCAATCATAGGTGTGTTTTGGGTGTAACATTATTTAACCAATCAGGATGTATCTCCCATTCCCAATAAAAGCCAGGTGTGCCTGCACTTGACAAACCGCTATTTACATGGCAGATTCGGCAAATTGGAGAAGCGAGCAGTTTTCTAATGCAGTAAGAGCAGAAATGTCACTGCAGCAAATATTGTGGGATATTTAAACAGCAAAACTAAAAAATGTAAACTCTAAACTTGACATAGGAGGTGCATCTTACTATCACAATATTGTGCCTTTTAAATATCAGGAAAATACTTTGCCATCCTGATGTTAGACCAGGTTTTTGTTGGTCAGTGGCATCATCACTTTCTGCTGCCTCAAAATAGCAATACACCAACAATGCGTCCTCACCACACCTCACTTAAAGACCTACAGGCCATGGGTGCACAAACGGGTACAAGTAGTAGTGTCAACACATTCTCACTCTGACCTCGTCATATATTGACGTTTTGGTCATGGACTTTCCATGTCCACATAAGATGTGCAGGGTACCCTTGGTGCATTGGTTGTTGACGTTCTGGGACAACATGTCAAGTTCTGCCTATTACATGCATTGTCTTCTTTCAGGATACACTTCCGTTTTCACAGGAAATTTAACTTTTACGTGTAGTGTCTGTCAAAATAAACGCACTACGTTTATTTTCCTCCAACACCAAACACACAGGGTTGGGTTTAGACAACAAAAACACATGGACGGGACTGGGAAAAAAGAACAGTGTTTGGCTTTAGAATCTTACAGGATGCGAACACCGCTCTCTTGGATGAAAGTCGACCTCTCCTCCTGCCCGCCCCACTCGGGCTTTCGCCACCTTAACTTTTGTCCTTGTCCCGCTGTGTTTCCCCTGATGCGGCCGGCTGCCATTAAACTAAACTGCAACTGGCCGCGTGTCATGCTGACAAGGTCACCTTTTTTTGTTGGTTTCTGGTGCTGCAAGTCACTGATTTCAATGACTTTGGATGGTGGCTGTAAAAATGACAACTGCATCAGTCTGAACTAGCAATGATGTGCTGGATATAAGATGAGGTCCCTCATCTTAAGATACCCACTTGTTTTGTGTAACCTCATAGCCTCATATTAGCGTTGGTTGAACTTAAGGAAACATTTAATACAAAACATGGACTGCTTTTTTGTCCACCTTCATTGGAAGGTATTTTTTCCAGGGCCAGTATGGAGAGGAAAAACAATTGCAGTGACCCAAAACTTTTTCAGTGTACATATGGACGCTTGATTGTTGTTCTAAGACAGACTTGAAAAAAGGTGAACTAATTCTCTAATGCCGAGCTATGCATCTGCACCAAGTGGCATATATATTTCTGCACATAATTCTCACCAGTGCATTTGCCCATGTTGGAGTAGTCAGTGCTGGGCCCTCCTTCAGCTGTGGCAACCCTTTCCCAGTCTGCCTTATCCCCTTCTCCCTGGATCATACCACAGATGTTCTCACGTTCAAAGTCACATGAGTCCAGGAATGTGGAGCCCTGGGCTACAAGACATTTCAAAATGCACACAAGTGTAGGACTTTGAACAACTATAAACTGATGATCAAGGGCAATGTTTAGCTTATCACATATTTCCATGTAGCATAAATTCAGGAGATAAATCATCTTACTGACAGCTGTTATCAACGACATTATTAATAAGAATTAGCTGTAATAATGGCGGCACAAGCTGACACAGCACTTCTTTTACAGACAATGAAACTGAACTAAAGTGTGTAAGGTTGTTGACTCTTACTGCAGTTATAGAGGCGGTGCAGCTTGAGCAGGTCACTGTCACTGAACTCCATACGCTGGCCAATGACATCACTGAAAGCAGGGATCTTGGTGACGATGGTGGGCTCGGTGCCGTTGCGAAAGGCGTTTTTACTGTAGTGCATCATGGAGCCATAGTCGTAGGGCACACCCAGAGAGCTGGAGGTGGTGTCATTGTAGGTGTTAAAGTTGTGTTCTCTACCTGCAGATCAGACACAAATAAAGGTGTCAGTGCTGTTGAAATCATTATCACGGTGTCTTCATCCATTCTCCAAACGTGGCAGCGGATTTCAGCAATGTTTATGAGGAGGATCACTAATAAATGTTGCTTATCAGTGGCTGGTGTGTGTTTAAAGACTTGACAAATGATTACTGACATCTCAAAGTACAATGTACACTTTAACTGCAGACTTTCAAAATAGATTTATTAACCATTTGAAGAGCATAGGCCAATGCACCTGATACAAAATGTTTTATTCCTTGATGGGCTGATAATGTGTTTTGCTTATCTTGTTGAGATTATGCAGCCAGGACACTAACGCATGCACATGCTTATCACACAAGCAATAAATCACCTGCTGCATAAAGTCCTGCACAACAAACCTCTTGCAAACATTGCATGACTGAAGTGACTCTTCAGATTAATTAGGATTTACATTTTTGTGAAAAGCTTGTTTAAGTGCAATGCATGAGAGCTACTTTACATGCCCTCTCAGTTAATTTATAAGCATACATGAAATAGAAGCCATGAAGTAGGCATGTCATAGAGGGATTAATGATATGTGGGAGCATGAATGATCAGTGTTTAAATTAATTATAATTTGGGTATCGTAGTAGTAGTATCGTAGTGATTTATTACCCTCTGAGATGTGGTCCCACATGATCCTGACATAGTCATCGCGGTCTGATCTGGACTGTTCATGCCAGAAACCCAGAGCATGAAGGAACTCGTGTTCAATGGTGGCGATGCGGTCACAGTTTCTCCCTATTGACAACCTCTGCTTCCCAACTCGTCGGTTTCCCACAGAGGAGAAACAGCTTTAAGATAAAAACAAACAAACAAGGCTTTTATGAACATGATATTGAGGACTTTTGTTGTAATTATAAATAGATTACAAGGCTATAAAGCACAGCTTGTCTTGCCATCTGAACAGATCATTAAACAATAAGAGTTCTTTTCGCCTCACCCGCCCCCTTTAAAGATGGAAATGTAGTTTGCTTCTCCACTCCAAGGCTTGAAGTCGATGCAGGTCTTGAGCCGGTACTGCTCAAAGGCCTTCAGAATCACACCTTTTGCATTGATCTCTGCAGAGAAGATAATGAATCAATTCTGTTAAAGATGATAAAATGCATCTCCCAATTCCCCTTTTAAGACTGACCATAAATTCATAAAAGGCCTCTTTTTAATCTTTCAGCTTTACTCAGTTACTCCCTGCTGTATGTGTAAAAATATATATTTAAAAAAATAAATCAGCCTTTTTTTTTCTTTATATGTTCCTTTATTTTCTTCTGACATCATTAAAACCCAGTATGTAGAAAGGCTCTGACTTGTTAAGCCTTCCCCTCTCTACAAACTGAGTTGCATGTTTGATTTAAGTGACAAAAATATGAACATGCCCAGAAAGCATTGTTAATATGCCAAATAAGGAAATATGTAATGTTTGATATGTTATGTGATATGTTGGCTGCATTAAAGGTCTAGTGTGTATGATTTAGGAGAGATATATTGGCAGAAATGGAAGATGATATTCATAACTGTGTTTTAATTTTTGAGTATCGACCTTAAATTAGGATAGCTGTCTTTTTGTTACCTACGGCATAGGGTCTGCAAGTATAAATTCTGCTTAACAGAATTTATACTTGCAGACCCTATGCCGTAGCCTACGCACATGGCCTACGCTGTTGTGAGCATTTGTACTGTCTTTGTCACTCTGTAGTTACACCTCCACAACACTAGTGGGCAGTGGGGTTTCTGTGAAGTGCTCTAAAGTTTAGTTGATTTAAAACACACCCAAAACACACATTAAACATGGCTCAATAGAGACACTTTCAAACACAAGTACACAAATCGGCTTCACATTAACTTGCAGCATTCACAGACAAACACTTGTCTTTATCTGGACACATTTTCCCCACAAATACAACATGCTAATGTTTTTAGCACAAGCCTATGGCATTTTACATTGAATAAATTAGCCTAGCGGCTAGCTGACATTTCCGCAAATTAAACAAAGCCAGGAACAACAGCAACATTTAACAAACGCAAAGTTACAAAATCCAGTTTCATTACAACTCACAAGGTTCACCGACAAAACAACTGTCTTAAGGTGCTTGCACATGAATGCTGATTTGCCGACGCTGCAGCGCTTGCCGTCGGCTTGACCCAACGCTGATCATCTCCATCTTGCAGTCGGATCTTTAAATTTTTCCGTGCCCCGTCTCCGCCCCCGCCCCCCGCCTGTGTTCTACTGTAAAATCATTGGCTCTACATGGAAAGGTCAGTGTCAAACGGGGTCGAAGTTCAACAAAATTGAACTTTCGGCGTCACGTCAAAACGCCGGTGAAGCCCACAACGCGACGCCAAAGTCGAAAAGTACCCCAACATCAGCGTTAACGCCAGCTTCCATAGGAAAACAATGGCACAGCGGGCATCAAGAAATTTTTAACGCTGGTCATGTGCACGCGCCTTTATACTAAACATGTTTTCCAAACAAATATAACATGCTAACATTATTAGCACAAGCCTATGGCACTCAACATTGTGTAAATTAGCCTAGCTCATATGAAGCCAGGATAATCACACACAAGACTTAAAATGCTATTTTTGTGGAGGCTTTATTCTCTTCACAATTTATTGTTTCTTATCTGTGAAATTAAAGTAAATAAAAGCTTCATGGTTTCAGCTTACAAAAATAGATGGGGGGGGGGTCTACATCGGTGTGACGTGTAGTTACATTTCTGGGGAGGTTCACGTCAGGCGTAGGGTATGGCATAGTCTCTACGTGGACGCAGAGCCTAAATCTACACACGGAGCAGGTTCTCTTCCATGGAGCTCGCCATGTTGTTTCTACAGTAGCCCAAAACGGATAAACCAAACACTGGCTCTAGATTGGGCCCACTGCATTTTTGCATCAGCTATTGTCATTCACCACCACGCTTGGTACACAGAAGCAGTTTTATTGGGCTGCAATCTGCAAAGTCACTGCCAGATGCCACTAAATCCTACACATTAGACCTTTAACATATATTTACTGTAAAAACATATGCATACAGTATGTTATTCTACATAGTGACTAATCCTTGAATTCACTTGTAACTGTGTAATTTAAATACTCAATTTCAAGTCCTGCAATCACAATTTTACTTAAGTAGAAGTACAAAGGTATTAGCTGTTTGCCAAAAGACTAATTTACAACACTGATGTTCATGTAGAAACATTTTCTAAATGCAGGCCCTGACAGGCACTCTTACCTAAGTCATCTTCCATGTAGTACGGGATCGTCTTTGGCCACCTGTACTGATCCCCAATTATGGAATTTCGAGTTTGCCTCTGTGGTGGTCAGGTAAAGCAACCATTAAGACAGTAACAACATAAGCTTTATTCCAGAATATTCAACTGTGCATGTGAAAATGAAAAGCAGTTAAATTAACATACCTCATCAAGCACAATGTCCCCCTCTACAAGATTCAACCCTGCCTCTGTGGAGACCAAGCACGAGGAAAACTGGTTTACAATAGTTACTGAGAAATAATCTGGAGATATGAGAATGAAAAATGCCCACATACCTTCATTGATGTCAAAAATGTCAAGGTCCCGTCCACCGTCCACATCATAGTCTGTGTAAATGGATATGTAATAGGTGAAGACACTTCAAATGAAAGTGACAGATTTGTGATAACAGAAAGGTAATCTGTGTCTTGCTTAAAAAAATAAATCATTTACCTGATATTTTTGCTGTGGGCTAAACAGAAGAGAATTCAAACATACATGTTATTGATAGACAAATGCATTAAAATCAGGTTTCTAGTTATCATACAACAGCATGTTAAAGAAAAAGAAGCAACTTCTCACCAAGCAGAGGGTCGCACAACATAAGAGGCATGCAATGTGAAGAACAAGTACACCTGTAGGTTTTGTCCCTGCCATGTCCTCAAGTGTCCCTCTACATGGGACAGTGCAGGTGACAGGTACTCAGCTGTTACAAGTCACTCAGAGTGCAGAAATAAGAGGGGTGCACGCAGGGAATAAAGTGAAACGTGGTCAAGGGTGGATAATTGACAGAGCTGTAAAGGGTCTGAGTTACACAGCAACTTCAATCATCGCTGTTATCTTCGAACAAATCTTTACACATTTGCAGATTAGCCACAGTGAAACAATAAGCCAGGGGGCGGCAAAACAGTCATGCTTACTTACCTTTCAGAATAAGACAGAGGAAGAACAACATCTGGAGGAAGTGATGTGCTGGATCTTTCTCATATTATAATGCTTTGTTTGCATTAACCTTGTTTTACTTATACAGTCATAAATTGTAGCTGTCAGTGAAATCCAGTTGCCACCAACAACAATAATGCATTGCATTTTATTTCTGCTTGTAACAAACTACTAATTATATTGATCCAGAATAAACCAATACATTCTTTAAGACTATTTTTTCACTGTAATTTTACATCTAATAAAGGAAAATGCATCCTGCTGATATACTTGGGCAGATCTGTCAGATGTGTGGGTCACATGACTTGGACTCGAGTACAGATTTGATAACTTTAGACAGAACTTGCAACTTGACTTGGACTTTACATCCAGTGACTCCTGACTTAACTTGCACTTGAGCTTTTTGACTTAAAAAAACTTGATACCTCCCCCCAAGCCAAGTTGGGAAGAGAAACGTAAAGACATTTGTCCAATATGAGATGAGTTTAATACAACAAAAGACAGGGCAGACACATACACAATTCATTCTGTTGTGGTAGTGGTTAACAGTGCTGTATGAAAGTACAATGTCAGCACTACTTATTTATGATTACATTACTTGCTTGTTTTGAATGAATGAATGACTTTATTTCGAACCAAAGTTTAAAACAATATTGTGATAACAAAAAAACAGAAATGTTCGAAAAGGAGTAGGTAGAAGTAAAACTTATATGTTCCTACCCCTCTCTCACTTTTCTTCTATTAACTTAAATGCTTTGCACAGTTTCTTACATGTTTAGTTACATACAACAATTAACCCATTTTTACAACACAGTCTTACTATCTTATCTAATGACGAAAACTCTGTCTGTGTGTGTGTCTGTTCCATGTTTTTCTCCTCACTGACTTGGTCAATCCATGTGAAATTTGGCACAGTGGTAGAGGGTCATGGGAGGATGGGAATGAAGCAATATTACATCAATTGGCCAAAGGGGGGCGCTATAGCAAGTGATTGAAATTGCAAACTTTGAATCTGCCTCAAGAACCCATAACTTCCGCTTATATAGATTTTCCGCCATTTTGAATTTTTTTGAAAAACACTTCTCTTCCTAGGAAGTTTGAGCGATCTGCATGAAACTGGGTGAACATAATCTAGGGACCAATATCTAAAGTTCCCTCTTGGCAAAAGTTGGAAAACTTACTAAAACTGAGCTTCTATAAGGCAATGAATATTGCGGAGGGCGTGGCTCATCACATAAAGGTGTATATCTTATCTAGGCCTAACCGGCGTATTGATTTTGACTAAACTTGGTAGATATGTAGAACAGGATGCCTCAAGGTGACTGGAGAAATTTAACTCTAATTGGCAACTGGGTGGCGCTATAACAACAGAAAAATGCTTAAAAATGGCTAAAATGCGACCGATCGCTGTGGCTCCCCCTGTGGACCAGTGTTGGGGTTTTTTTTCTAATTTTTGGTATGACTAAGTCATGGTATGGTATGCTGTACATAATCATGGAAACTGTCAGTGTGTCATTCTGTCAGTCAGTCATTCTAGCAGTCCCACTTCTAAGTCAATACAACATATAAACACTTTAACTATCTGCCTTTCAACGTGCTCCCTCAACTACTAATGTACAGTTTTAGCCCACTAACTATCCCACTATTGGCAATGGTACTACTGTACTTTCAATAAAGCAATCATACTATCAAATTCACAAAGACTCTGTCTGAATACATTGCTCTTCTTAATGGGTTCAGTAGACTATTTAATTTGCAATTTCCTATGACCTGTATCCCAAACACACACCATGTGAAACTGTACGTGGGCAACTGTGCACTCAGTGGGTTTGGACTAGTTTTATAATTATATTACATTCCTAAATTATTTACAATACACCGGGTGATACTAAATAAATACAAATTTCCCTAAAACAGCTTTTCCTCTTCCAAGTAACTGTCAAGGGTTTGTTTTTTGTACAGTTCTTTAAAATGGTTTACATTTGTACTTTCTTTAAGCTCATCTGACAACCCGTCCCACAAATGCACCCCACACACTGAAATACAGACTTTTTTTTAGTTGTATGAACACTTTGTTTTTTAAAGTTAAAAGTTATAACCCCTCCCTGTTTTAATAAACTTGTTAAAACGCTTTCATGATTTCAGTAAATTTAATATATTATTACTCTGTTGTTTAAATGCCATTGCATTCGGTGAAGAGTGCATTATGACTTGTTTAGGACTCGAAACTTAAAGCTTAGGACTCGGTACTTGCCTGTCTTGTGACTTGCAAAACAATGACTGAGCTCTGTGTTATTCTCAAGGCTCTAACAAGCAGCTCACTACAAGCCAATGTTTGGTTTATCCTTGTCACAGATGACCTTTACCTTGAACTCCCCGGCCCGTAGCAATGCTTCATGGGCACTTCAGTAATAGCAGCTTTGACATGTTGGTCTATAAATTCCTGCACCTTGTGCTCTGCCCTCCAACAGCTCCAGCAGCATTATTATATAGTAAATGTTTTCTTTTCAGTTACTTTCTGACACTACACTAGATGCAGCGTATGCACACAATATTTACGGCCTTTTGTTTGCACTGCTTTGTGCTGTGTTGATTGTTGACTGGCAGGGACAAACAGGATGCTCTGATCCTCATAATGAACCTTTTGAGAAACACAAAAGGATCACATCAAAACAGGCATTCTGGTATCTCACCTTGAAAACCGCTGTTGTTATTTTCTATATGTTGTGACATACTTTAGTGGATCCACTTCCTTTTCTGCAGGAATGTGCACAAGTGTTGGAGAGGTGCTGACCCAATGAAAGAGCAAGTGCGTAAACAAGCATGACATACAGCAAGAATACAATACACTAAAGTATGTCACAACGTTTTCTTTGTCACTATGGACAACTGTCAATGTGCTTCTTTGCTTTAATTAGTCAATACAGTGATGGGGGACAGCTCTGACTTAATCCTATAGCCTCTGAGTGTAAAATAGCCTATAGCCTCTGAGTGTATAGCCTCTGAGTGTAAAAGTAAACATATCAACTTGTTCCTTTAGCTCTCTAGCGCCCCCGTTTTGTTTGATGGGGTCAATAATGCGCAGTCCCCTCAGATTATGTGTGGTCATATGCCTACAAAGTTGCGTGGTGATGGGTGAAACCCTTGAGATGTTATACACCTTTATGTGATGAGCCACGCCCTCCGCAATATTCATTGCCTTATAAAAGCTCAGTTTTAGTAAGTTTTCCAACTTTTGCCAAGAGGGAACTTTAGATATTGGTCCCTAGATTATGTTCACCCAGTTTCATGCAGATCACTCAAACTTCCTAGGAAGAGAAGTGTTTTTCAAAAAAATTCAAAATGGCGGAAAATCTATATAAGCGGAAGTTATGGGTTCTTGAGGCAGATTCAAAGTTTGCAATTTCAATCACTTGCTATAGCGCCCCCCTTTGGCCAATTGATGTAATATTGCTTCATTCCCATCCTCCCATGACCCTCTACCACTGTGCCAAATTTCACATGGATTGACCAAGTCAGTGAGGAGAAAAACGTGGAACAGACACACACACAGACACACAGAGTTTTCATCATTATATAGTGAGATTAATCCTTACCTAATTTATTTATTTATGTTCCTTTCTGCCATTTTTTTTCTGTTGAGGCAATTGGCATTGTTCAAAATTTGAAACTTAATAAACTTAAGTCATAAAAAAAAACCCTCAAAACACTTCTACATATGACAATTATAAACGCAAATGCCGTGTTGCAACCTACGGGCAAAACATACACATGTCACCTGCTGTCAATCACTGCTACTTTTTAAATAGCTGCTGTTCAACTTTTGTGTTTGTTTCTTTTTAGTTTTATATTTGAAACCTGCAACACCTATTACAGTGCAATTTCTAATAGAAAAAAAAGAGAACATCATTGTGTCACACTAAAGTCCAGTTGTTACTTTAATAGAAATACAATACGTTTACAGCACTTGGTCATCAGATAAATGAGCACAAATTCTAATTGTGTGGTGTGCAAGTACAAAAATGCTATTCCCAATGCTGTTCCTTATATATGGCTTTCCTTACCTCCAGATGACGCACATTTTCATACCTACATCTGCAAGTCTAACTTGAGGGTGCTGTAATTTTTCTTGCCAGTGAGAGGCACAGCTTGGACTGGGAGAAGGGCAGCACCAATATAGTTGAATAATGTAGGCAGAGTTGGTTTTGGTTGCCTCCATCAGCAACACAGTGTCATCACTGTCTGCACAGCTTTAAAGGGGAACACCACTTAAATTAAAAATCCCACTCTGTTATTTCCACGGCCAAGGAAAGTTCAATCAGTATCTTTGAACATGAGCTAAACACTACAAAAGCCGGAAACCAGAGAGGCAAGTCTCAAGCTTTTGTGGACCCAGAAAACTTTTGTTTTATTTTTTTAATACCCAAATGAGCTTTAATCTATTGTAGTGTTCTCAGTTTCTAAACAGAAAATGTACCCATTTACTCAGATCAGTGTCATTAGCCCCTTTTACACGAATGTGTCTGCGAATGTTGGGCCATTTTGCCGGCCAGCTGCGAGCCTTTATACACACAGAGGTGGATTGGCGAGTTGATCCGAGGCGCCCAATTTTCCGTCTCGTAGGGTAGTCATATTGGCAGAACCTTTTTGGTTTAAACAGACCGAGGCGCCCTTCCGCAACGGGAGGGGCTGTTGAAGACTTGTGGGAGGAGCTGTTTATGACACCACATGTGCGACCCACAGGTGGTGGATAAACAGGAAACAGCGACTTACAAGAGAATAACCAAAAGACTG